CTACTGTATCCGACCGTTGCTTAGCTTCGGTGATAAGAAGCAGCATCCGGGCCTGATAGGCCTCGTCCGTTTCCCCGGGCTTCTGATCCATGTCGACTGTTTGTAAGCGCGTGAGCATAGATCAAGCCAGAGGACTGCTGACGTGGCACTCCTGCTGCTGACGTGGCGCTACTGTCGGCTGACGTGGCCTGCAGATGTGGTCTGCTGACGTGGTCTGCTGACGTGGCCTGCTGACGTGGCAACTCACCAATGCCACCGCAGGGTGTACCCGGAGAACAGGTAGAGAAGGTAAGACCAGAGGGGGCAACAACGTAGGTGGGGAGGGGTGGGTGGGATAAATCGCCCAGATAAGGAGCCACTAATCAAAAAAGAAAAGTTTGAACTTTGCAAAATAATTTCGAGAAAAAGAAAAGAAAATACTCATTTGCAAGTTCGGTAGACCTCCCAATTCCCCCTTAAGTGCGAAATTACCCTGAGGAAAAATTTCGAACGTTCAGACTGCAAATGATTATCCGATAAGAATTCCGAAAAAATAAAATACAGCAAATATTCGGAATTACTCAGATGAGAGTACGCGCAGTTGGAGAATGATAACTGCAAGAGGGATTTCCCGTACCGTTTAAAAAAAAAATGAATTTCGAAAAAAAATATTCCGGATTTTCTAAATAACGGGAAATTGCAAAAGGAAATAAAAATTTTGAAAAAAGATATTCCGAATTTTCCAACTACGAAATTTTGAATTTTCAAAAGGAAAACGAAGGACACAATCATTCCACGAACGGCCAAGAGTGACGACCATCTTCTTTTCTTGCGTCAGATGCAAGAGCTACTTGTCAAGGCACGCGACCAGATGGCCAAGACGCAGCGACGCATGAGCCAACAGGCCAATCGCCAGCGTCTTCCTTGCCCATTCCGCGCCGGCGATCTTGTTTGGGTTTCCGCTGCAGAATTCAGCCTTGAACAAGATATGCAAAGAACATGAGTATGGACGAAGCACAGAAATCCAGAATGCAAAATCACACTGAAGTCCAAGTAGTCAAAGCCAAAGCAGATAGCACATGGAACCGAGTAACCATCCAATTGAGAATGATACAAAAGAATCGTGAGTCAATGTCCATGCCCAACAGGGCAACACCAACAGCATAACCCAAATGTAGCTCTCTCTTGTGAATGGCGCCAGGCGCCCTATCTACTCTACAGCTATCCTACAACTACAACAATGAAAAGCAACCAGACAACTTGACTACCAGCGAGTGATGATGTCAACACCAATGCCGACCTCACCCTTCACCAGGTACGTGTCCTCTTCCCCACACTCTCCCTTGTTACCCACACAGYGCCCTTCACCTCCGAAGTACCACCTTCGCCCTCACCTCCCCTGCACCCTCATGCGGCCCGGCTATGGCCGCCAGTGCCCTGCGTGCAGGCAGCGCCCTACCSCCTAGCGCTGGCCTGCTTGCTCTTAGCGCAGCACTGCCTTGCACAGCGCAGCACACATGCATCYGCGCAGCGTGCCCGCAAGTGCCATCATTGGCCAAGATCCCTGTTGCCTCGCCCTGCTTGCCTATATGCCAATGCAGCATGTGGGCGGCCTTCCTTCAGCCTGTGACCGGGACCCAGAGGCTGAAGCCAACTCGATACAGTTGGGCCCCGGGAAATGCAGTTGCGCCTCTTTCATCAAGGCCTGTGGCCAGATTCAGATAGTGGGCCGATTTCCATTTGGCATTTTCGGCCTCTCTGCCCAGCATGCATTGTCGGCCTCACGTTCGAGTGCCCAGGGCCTAACTAACTCAGAGGCCCTGGGCATTTCAGCATTTGCTAAGATCCGAGACTCGGTGCACACCAACCAACTGGCGTGCTGCAACTGTATGAACCCCACTTCGTGAAATGTTGGCACATAGGGCTCTTGTTGATTTGTTGGCCTGCCTTCACTTAGGGCGGGCACGAGGCTTGCTGGGGCCTTAGCCCAGAACATGTACATCATGGCAAGGCCCGTACTTGAGGGTTCAATCCTCACATTCCATCCCCCTTAGCTTCGAAAGTCCGCTGAGATGCTTACTTCGCAGGTGCCTTCCCTTTTAACTTCCGTTCATAATCTGCCACCACCTGAGGAGCTGTTTCCATCAGTTCCTCCCGGGTAAACCACCGATCTTCTTTCGGATTCGTATGATGCCTGAATCTGATCCGGTACTCCCTCTTGGGTTTAGGAGGTCTTCCTCGACCAAGCGGCTTTGGAACAGGCATATCCCTGTGATCCACAATATCGTCGATGTCGACTTGTCCATCCATGGTTGGGGGCAGCATCGATCTCCTGGAAGGGAATTGATCAGTCTCAGCGAAAGGTGCAAGCTTTAAGTGCGTAGGTGTCCAGGGACACGAATGACGTACGTAGGACCATCCAACTCATCTCCCACTACATCCAAGACTTCCCAGGGACCAAAGTATTGAGGCATTAGTTTGCGAGATATTCTGAACTCCTGTCCTAACTCACTAGCCTTGACCCAGACACCTTCCCCTACCTGAAATGTGGGTTGTCTGCGATGTTGATTCTCAGAAGCAATCATAGCTTGCTGAGCTTTCTTCATATGTTCAACAGCCTCTTGCAGCAACTTCTCATATTGCACACCGTATKCAAGTGTGCCTGGAGTTRCAGCGRGTCGKTTTTMAGGTAGGAGGAAGTCTAATGCTGATCTAGGCTTCCATCCTAAGTGCAGCTGGTTAGGACTAACGTCGGTACTGCTATGTATAGCATTGTTGTACAGGCTGGCGATGAGAGGTAACTGCTCATCCCAGTCATCCTGGCTGGGCTTGATGTAATGCCTCAGCAAGTGCTGTACAACTCTATTCATTTGTTCGGCCTGTCCGTTTGGCTTCGGGATGATTCCCTGAAGTCATCTGAAGTTGACTGCCCATTTGTTCTGCAGTCTTCTTCCACAGCTCACTTGTGAATCGGACGTCTCGGTCACTAATGATGGTCTTTGGTAAACCAAAGTCCCTTACCCAGTTGTCCTTGAACAACTTGATGACGTATTCGGTCCTGGCTGTCTCTGGCATTGGTATTAGTCTAGCGTACTTGGTGAATCGGTCACTGATGACGAAAATGTGCCTCTTTCCACTCTTGCCGGTCACAAGAGTGTCCATGAAATTCATGGAAACACTCAATCCTGGACCATCAGGAATAGGTAAAGGCTTTAATAACCCAAGCGGTGCTTGAGTTCGCGGCTTGTCCCGCTGACAGACCTGACAGGTCTCAACATACTTCTTTGCGTCATCTATCATTCTGGGCCACCAAAATCACTGTACTAAGTTAGCACTCGTCTTCTTGTAGCCAAAATGCCCAGTTGTGTCATGACATTCGCCTAGAAATAAACTACGCAACTGTTCGCTAGATGGAACTACCAATCTCTTTACTCCGGCCTTATCAAGATAGATTAGCCCATCCACCATCATAAACTCACTTTTTGTGGCCTTGTCTTTTGCCTGAAGTTTGCGGATGATGTCCATCGTGACAGGATCTTCCTGATAGGCTCCCGCCAATGATTGAGTTACTTCGTTAGATACGCCAAATTCAGAAACTAGCGCACCTAGGTAGTCTGCTCTACGGGATAGCGCGTCTGCAACCTTGTTGTACTCTCCCTTCAGGTACTCAATCTTGAAGTCATATTGGTCTATGACCTCAATCCATCGCTTGAGTGCATCAGAAAGAGYCGGTTGAGTCTTGATCCATTTGAGGGTCTGATGATCAGTCCTCAGATAGAAGAACCTTCCCAAAAGGAAGTGTCTCCAATGGACAAGTGCCTTATAGAGGCATAGAGTTCCCTTTCAT